GTGTGCACTCGCCAGACAGACAGAGCGAGACATAGAGACAGAAAGCGAGAAATCACCCCCCAGGGGGGATAGTCACACTGCAATCCCTTCTCCTCCATTCTCCTCTTGGGATCTTGGGCACGCACGCACACGCGCCTGGCGTGAGTTTTAAGCCACCGGGTCCGGGACGCGAACTGCAGTCGACCACGTGGGAGTCCAGCGACATAGCCATTACGCTAACTGCTGGTTCCCAGGCTCCTTTATCCTTGAAGAATAAACATGTAAAGTTACCTGGAAATCATTTTGTACAAGATTAACTAGGAATAATTTGACATTCTAGACAATTTAATATTATATAGCTACAAAATTGAAACTGATACTGTACTGTGATTTGCACTGTAGTGCAAATTGAACACTTAGTATGTAAAAAAATGTAATCTATGATAAGATGTCATTATAAATCAGCTAGAAAAGGATGAGTATTCAATAAATGGTATTGAGATACTTTGATTAACTCTTTGGAATATTAATTAAATTCATATACCAGAAAATATTGCTCAAAAAATCCAAGTGTGGAAAATCAAGTCTTATTAAATATGAGAAAGTAAACTATCTGATCTTTGAATTCTATGATCTTTGATCTTAGAATGGTATTTAAACTTAAAAGCTTAAAAGCAATAAAATATGTCATAAATAGTTGAGATGATTGTATTTAAAAAAAAAAAAAAACAGAAAACAAGGGGCAGGTGGCATGGTGATTAACTTCCACATGGCTGACCACAGTTCAAGTCCTGGACCTGGTGGCTTGCTATCTCACTTTGTCTCTCTGTCCCTCTCTGTTCGAATTAAAATAAATAAATAAAGTTCAATAAAATAACTCTTAAAAAAACAAAAAGCAAAACAAAACAATAAATAGAAACTCCTATAAAAAGCAACTGAGATTGAAAATATTTTTGAAAACAATAAAGGATGATATTCTTAAATAATTAATTCAAATTACTAAGAAAACACCAAGAGTCTACCTAGATATCGTAAATGAAAAAAAAAATCATGGCTTAGCAATTTTCGAAATAAGAGTTAAAAATGATTAGTAAAGGGAACCAGCAGTTGGCGTAATGGCTATGTCGCTGGACTCCCACGTAGTCGACCGCGGTTCGTGTCCCAGACCCGGTGGCTTAAAACTCACACCAGGCGCGTGTGCGTGCGTGCCCAAGATCCCGAGAGGAGAATGGAGGAGAAGGGATTGCGGCGTGACCATCCCCCCTGGGGGGTGATTTCTCGCTTTCTGTCTCTATGTCTCTGTCTGTCTGTCTGGCGAGCGCACGCGCCCTGCAGTGAAAATCTCTCCAAAAAAAAAAAAAAAATCAAAAAAATCAAAGAGCACTGTTGTGCTTTATAAAAAAAAAATGATTAGTAAATATACCAATCTGCTTATATTTTCCTAAAAAATCTAATATCTGTACATCAAAGAAATGTACATTTTATATTTTTTAAATCTTAAAAATTGTTTTTTAAAAATCAGTGCATTATATTGACAAAACCGGGTAGGATTGGCATTCTCAAACCTTATTTTATTGGATGGGAATACAAATTGGTAAAATTACCTGGGTAACAATTTGAAATGTGTCTGTTAAAGTCTTTAAAGTTCATAAACTTTAACCCAGTATTCCTCTATTTGCACTCTATCCTAAAAAACTAACATACAATTGAACAGATATTTATGTACCTGGATGTTGATACATACGTAGACATAGGTGTATAAGACAGGGTCTTGCTGTGTCAGTCTCCCACCTGAGTTGCTAGGATCACAGGCTTGTGCCTCCAGGCCCAGCTCCTTCAGACTGGGTCTCACTGTGCTGCCCAGGCCAATCTCAAGCTTGTGAGTCTCTTGTCTATGCATGCCAAGTTTCTGGCATGTGCTCCATGCTGGGCTTTTTAAGTTGGATCAGAAATGGAATCTGGACTTTCCATATAGTCCCAGATTATGGAGCATAGCATCTTAGTAGTGCGTGCCACCATGGCTGGGACCGCATATTTTTGTAATTCTACTGAAACTGAAATAATCTAAGTCTATAATATTAGCTCAATGATCAAGTAAAACTTAATACATTTTTTTTAATTGCCAGAGGATGTATACTCACCAGAGAGTGAGTCCTCCCCTCCCTCTAGGGGGAATGTCTACAGTGCAGTCCTTTGTCCTCCACTTCTCTCTTGTTTCACGGTTTTGGGTGTGCACACGCACATGCCCAGTGTGGTTTTCAAACTGCCAAGGGTGGGATTTGAATTGAGGTCAGCCATGTAGAATCTGGCACTGAGCTTAACCACTGTGCTGCAGGGCTGGCCCACCTTGATACTTTAACAAATGAAATATGCGACCTTAAAAATATCGTGAGAATTTTTTGTGGGAAGAAATTTTTATGTTATTAAATCATAAAAGCAGGGCAAAAATATTCTGTATATAGTATTATACTCCCTATTTTTTTAAAAAAGAATTATTTTATTTAACTTTATTTATTATTATTATCATTATTATTTTTCAGTTTGATCAGAGAGATACAGAGAGAGAGAGAGAGAGAGGAAGTGAGAAAGCAAGCCACCAGGTCCGAGACTTGAACCATGGTTGGCCATGTGGGAGTCCAGCGCCTTTAACCGCCATGCCACTTGCCGGCCCCATATACTCCCTATTTTTAAGAAGTCACAGAAATAGTGAAGAGTTATACTAAAATATTATTAAGTATGTTGTATCTATAGTGTTTCTGCAATAATCACCATTTTCTTCTTACTGTTTTCTATATTCAAAATTTTCACAATAAAAATTACATCCATTTTATGATATGAACATTTTTTAGGTCAAAAGAAATTTAAATGTGTATTTTATTAAGGTTCAGAAAGATTCTTCTCAGGTTTAATAGCCTTACAAAGCAATCACGGCTGTCCCTTTTTAAGCTCCCTGTAACTGAGGAAGTATCCAAATATGGGACAATGTCCTACTTATCATCTTGAGGTCCATGCTCCGGGTCTACCACCTCCTCTCCTATTCAATAAAACTATTCATTAGTTAAAATGTTAATATATTCTGAAACTGGAATTACACTTTCATTTGGTAGTTCATTTTCCCTGGGGAAAGAAAAGCATTTCATTGTATTTCCACCTAGCATTATATACGTTTTGTATTTTACCCTTTTTCATTTCATTTCCTTTAAAGCTCTTTGAAATATCTCAAATACTAAAAAGTATTTCCACACAAATATATCTTATCTTCTCTTAAAAAGGTTTGAGGATACTGTGTTATTTTTAATAATTTTAAAAATATTTATACAGTATAGAGAGAGATCAAGTGAGAACTTGTGTTTTGGGTAACTCCTCTAAAGTTACTTTTCTTTTCCAAAATTGGTAAAGAACAAATCTGATTTGTTCTTGCTTGCGAAATATTCTTTGTCCCAGTTTCTTCCAATTTTGAAATAGTTGTCTTTCAGGTGATCTGCACTTATTATCCCACCAGCTAATTCAGGTGCCTAAACTTTGGGCAGACCAGTCCCACCCTGTGTTGCTGCTTTAGGGTACCTGTAAATCATTTTATGTATTAAACTGTTTCCCCCTCTGCCAACTCAAAGTCCTTTTGAGAAGACATGAAAAAGCACTAAAAACGAAAAGAGGATGTAGTTTCTATCTAGAGAACCATGAATCATGGAACCAAGAAGAATTAGAAAAAAATATTAAGTAATAAAATATTAGGTAATGGGCCACCAGGTGGCATGGTGGTTAAGGCACTGGATTCCACATGGCTGACTATATGGGTTTGAGTCCTGGACCTGGTGGCCTGAAAAACATGCCTGGTGTTCATGTGCATGTGTGCCTAAAATCACAGGAAGAGAATGGAGGAGAAGGGATGGCTATCTTCTTTGGCCAGTGATTTCTCACGTTCCCTTTCTCTCTCTCTCTCCTGGAGTTTACATGCCCTATGGCAAAAACAAACTAAAAAACAAAAACCTATAAAACCCCCAAACAAACCAAGAAAAAACAAGAGCAAAAACAAAAAAGTGACACTTATATAACAAAAATAGAGAATTATTCAAGCATTTAACTTGATCGTTTCTGTCTGGGGTTAGTTACAGAACATCGTTAGTTACCTTGGTACAAACTACTATATGAAATAGAAAGATTAGTAAAGTAGTGACGCTCAGTGTTTTCTTCTCACTTTATTGTGACCCTATTTTTTTTATTTTTTTGAAGACGCTCAGTGTTTTCATCTCACTTTATTGTGACCCTGTTTTTTTTTTTTTTTGGAGAGGTTTTTTCGCTATAGGGTGCGTGTGCTCGCCAGACAGACAGACAGAGAGAAACATAGAGACAGAAAGCGAGAAATCACCCCCCAGGGGGGGTGGTCACGCCGCAATCCCTTCTCCTCCATTCTCCTCTCAGGATCTTGGGCACACACGCACACGCACCCGGTGTGAGTTTTAAGCCACCGGGTCTGGGACGCGAACCGCGGTCGACTATGTGAGAGTCCAGCGACATAGCCATTACGCTAACTGCTGGTTCCCATGACCCTATTTTTTAAATCATAGTTTATATTCATTTCTCCCTTTGTTTTGAATTGTTCTCCTTGTTGAGCAGTTTTGTTCTCTCTCCCCACCCTGGCCCCACTACTTTTTAAAAATTACTTTCACAGGACTGTATTTGTCCCAGTTTTTTTTTTTTCCCCACATTAAATAACATTCTAATTGTGCTATGTTTCACAGTATATTCATCAGTTACACTTTCACTGTTCCCGCAAAGCCAAGCAAATATATGGCTATTTGAAGATACTGTTTTAATTACTGGAAAATTAGCTGGTAAGTACAATACTTCTTAGTAAGTAAATGCTTAAAATAATTATGTAACTGTACTTCTTCATTAATATATCAATGTTAATTATAACTTGGGAAAGATTTTAACTGATCCCTGATGATTAGAATTGATTATAAGTTGATCTAAACTAATTCTTATTTTACTATCCAACTAATAGTATGTGTCTGGATAGTGGAAATCATTTTCTGCTTTACTATTTTAGTCCCGCAGATAGAGACATTTGACTCTTGGAAATACTGGCAAAAAATTCTATTTGGAAATCACATCTCTCACTGGGGACATCGGTAGTGGTGAAATGGGGAGGAAGGTAGAACATGTCACTCAGACATTCAGGGCTGATCTGTAGGTCACCTCTGTTCCTCCTCCTGTGTTAATCTCCTCACCTGTGTGGGAGAGGCCTGAGACTAGTTAGCAGAGTTGCCCCACTTCCATAACCCAAAGAGCACAAAGCTATATTTGGAATAGTGACTCAAGCTGTATTCTCTAGTTTTGCTTTACCAGCCATGAAGGTGACTTTTTCATCGTTACTTCACATCCCTGTACCCTTCAGTTGGTACTTAGGAGAAACCTCAGTATTCCGTGTCTCTTACTGCATATGCTATAAAACTTCTACAAATGACAACCATTTGCTCGTTGTTTGTCTGGTTTGGTGAGTTAATGTACAGGTCTAAAGCAAAATGGGAGTAACTGGTGAAAAGGGGAAACTCCTTAAAGTAGAATCCCATAAGAGGATCATGAAAAGTAATTGTGACAGTTCTTTTGCTACCTTATTTATTTCTAAAACATTAAACAAGAAAAGTCTAAATATTATGTGGAAAAAAATTAAACTAGGCCTCATTTAAATTTGGAGTAGTTTTCTAAGCAAGGATTTAGAAACCTCTTCTTGAAATGCCAAGGCATTTGACAAAATTTTGAGCCACAAATTTTGCTGATATATAGGAGAATTGTGAATGCAGAGTTGTGCATGGCAGATGGGAAAGTAATAGGACCACAAGTCTGCAGAGAGAGTCTACACTTTAGACTGCTGGACTCAATGCAATAAGGTCTTCACAGAACCTCTTCAGTCTTTTATGTGCTCTGGTTTTGTGGTTACACATCGCTACTCCTTACTGGCCACTAAAAACCCAATTAGAAATTGTAGTTTCTGCTGGGAATCCATGAAGTGGATTGTTGGTGTGACCATGTTCTGCCAGTTCCTTTGCCACTGTATCAAGCAATGCCAAGCGTTCATTTGTCTAAACAGCACTGGTCATGCCTTGGCAGGTCTCCGTGAGAACACTGTGAGCCTTCTTGAATTCTCAAATTCACTTCCATTTACTGCCTCAGTTCTGTAAGAAGTACCCCATTGGTAGAGCCCAGCAGAAATTCTTTTTTCTTAATTGCCGGAGGGCATGTGTGCTAGTCAGAAAGAGACAGTGAGGGAGGGAGGAAGCACATCCAATGAGGCATGGTCATGTCACAATCTCTTCTCTTTCGTTTTTCCATTGTGTCAGGACCTCGGGCGTGTAAGTACGTGTGTCTGTTTTCCAAACCACCAGGGCCAAAATTCAAACCGTGGTCAGCTCTGTGGAATCCGTAACAACTAGACTGCGTGCCTGGCCTCCAAGCAGAAAATTCTGAGGATGTTAAATCTTTCCACAGAAATAGTGCATCCTTACTTCCTAACTTCCATGAAATGTTCCGTTCAGTTTGCACAGTGAAAATGTGTGAGGCCTGTGTGTGAATGTATTTGTGGTAGAAGTAGGAGACCTTGCACTCTAGGAGAGCATGAAACCTTTAGAGAAGCTCAGCTAGATATTTTGCTTAGTGTGCATGTTTTTAGTGGAAAGAAATTTAGATCTAGAGCATAATTACACCACATATTTTAGATAGTACCTATAAATGATCAGAAAATATGAGACTATATCCTCAAACAACTTAGCCAATAAGAATCCATATTATAATCATGTTGTTTTTCTTAACTATCTTCTTTTTTTCAGATTTTTTTTTAGCTTCACACATTAAAAAATCTATAATTTTGAGAATTAGTTCACATGATTGTATTTATCATTTATTGTCATGCAAGTCTTTAAAAACTGGTACTCTTTGACCCTAATTATTTAACTGATTGTTTCTTTCTTTGTGATCTTACTGAAGTCCAAACAAAAGCTGTTGTTTCTGATTATTTTTAGTTTTAAAGATTTAAGTTGATACTTGTATTGTTAAGTAAAATATGTTGATTACAGAAATATCAGTATCGTCACTGAATTCTCGCTTGGTAGATAATGCTAGAAGACAGTTATTCAGAGTTATTGAAATGAGATAATGTGGTTCTCTAGAGTGAAATCCAAAAAACGTTAAAGAAACTCTGGGCAGCAGAATCAAGCAGTTTTTAGTACAAAGGTGCCTTGTATAATCTAAAGAAAGGAAAGCTTCTTATTTAGTGAACTTTGAATTCAAAATAATAATGATATGAGGAGATGTACGTGAAGAAATAATTATAACTGCTTAAAGTAAAGTATGATGCTGTGCTTAATATGCATTTGTTTGATCTGTTTGTTAATGAGGTTTCTTTTTTCCAGATGCCAAATCTCAACCCAGTGTTCAGTTTTCAAAAGCCTTAATTAAACTCCCTGACAACCATCATATTAGCAATGTTACTGGCTATCTTACAGTTCTACAGCAGTTTTTGAAAGTTGACAATTTTCTGTATACAACTGGAATTACTCTCAGTAAACCAGGTATTACCTAGTTTTTATATGATCTGATCATAGTTATAAAAGTATTTTTAGTTTATATATCTTTCATGAAATATGTATTTAGATCCTTACTAGATACTGATGTTCATTTAAGAATACATGTCACTTTGAAACATAAATAAAGTTATTAAAGTGTTTCTAAGCAATTCCCTTTTATCAACTGAAATGGATTATTCCGGAGTCTTTGGCATATGTTATTTCAAATTAATGGCAATTTCATTTTATTTCATTTAAGTTCATTAAGTTTATTTGATCCAAAGCAGGTAAGTAAAGTATAGAAAATAGTTATGAGTATTATATAACTTTCTAAACTGAAAAATGCACTCAAATATGGGAGTTTGATTTAGAGATGTTTGTACAAGCTTCATTATTTGACCTCTTTTTTTTTTTTTTTTAATGTTTTTGCCTTATAGCACATGAGCTTGCTGGAGAGACAGAGACTGTGAGAGGAAAAGTGAGAAATTGCTCCCTGGTGAGGATGGCCATGCCCCAATACCTTCTCCATTCTCCTCCAGGGATCTTGGGCATGCACACACATGCCCCTGGCATGATTTTCAAGCCACTGGGTCTGAGATAGGAACCAAACTGCAGTCAGCCATGTGGGAATCCAGTGATGTAACCACTACACCATCTGCTAACCTTGGCCTGTTTATTCTCATCAAACTGATAAGAAGTGTTAATGATTATTGTATAGAAAAGTTTATTAAATTACATTTTGGAGTAAGTTATGGCAAATTTTTTCTTTTTTTCTTTTTTTTTTTGCTATAGGGCGCGTGCGCTTGCCAGACAGACAGAGAGAGACAGAGAGACAGAAAGTGAGAAATCATCCCCCGGGGGGATGGCCATGCCACAATCCCTTCTCCTCCATTCTCCTCTCAGGATCTTGGGCACGCATGCACACACGCCCGACGTGAGTTTAAGCCACTGGGTCTGGTATGCGAACCACGGTCGACTACGTGGGAGTCCAGCGACATAGCCATTACACTAACTGCTGGTCCCGGCAAATTTATTCTTTATACATACACACACACACAATTGTTTTTGTCTGTGAGTGATATTTTAGGTTGTTAGAAAAGGCATGGCACATTTTCGCATAGAAACAGAAAAATACATCATGTCTTTGCCAACATAATACATACATTTGCTGTTCTCTATCAGAAAAATATAAATACTGAAAATATATCTTTCCTAGAGTCAGCAGTTTAACATGTTTAAATAAGGCTGTTATGATGTTAAAGTTCAGGGGGTGATGAAATTTTATACCTTTTTTGGGGGATGATTACATGTTTAATCCCAAGTATATGGCATTACATTAGCAGCAGAGTGGAGTCTGTTTGACCTATAAATACATTACAAACTATTGATCTTCCAGAATTGCCCAAAGCAATTCACAATAATTAAATTTTATACTCTTTTAAGACTACATCTAGGGGGCCAGCAGGTGGTGTAGTAGTTGAGGCACTGGACTCCCACATGGCTGACTATGATTCAAGTCCTACCTGGACCTGGTGACTTGCATTCTCACTTTCCCTCCCTCTTTTTCTGTCTCTCTCTCTCTCTGTCTCTCTGTCTGGTCAGCACATGTCCCCTATAGCAAAAATTAAAATGATAATAATAATTAATAAAAAATTAAATGAATAATTCTTTTTTTTTTAAAGGGGGGCCACCAAGTGACATGGTGGTTAATGGTGCTGGACTCCCACATGACTGACCATGGTTTGAGTCCCAGACTTAGTGACTTGCTTTCTTTCTCTTTTTCTCTCTCTCTGGTGAAATTTTATAAAATAATAATGATAAATAAAATAAATTGGTTAATTTAAAACAAAATTTAAAAAGAAAAAAGAAAAAGAATACATTCGGAGAGGCTGGCAGATGGCATGGTGGTTATGACTCTAGACTCCCACATGACCAAACAAGCTTTGAGTCTCAGACCTGGTGGATAGCTTTTTCACTGTCTCTCTGGTGAGCTCATGTGCCTCGTTGCAAATTTAAAAATAAATAAATAAAATTCTAAAAAATATTCTTTTTAAAAAAGAATAATTTATTTATTTAATTCCATTTGTTATTATTATTATTTTTAATTTGACCAGATAGAGATAACAAGAGAGAAAAAGGAAAAGTGAGAAAACAAGCCATCAGGTCCAGGACTTGAATCACTGTCAGACATGTGGGAATCCAGCACCTTTAACCACCAACCCCCTACTGGTGGTCACCTTTAGTTCAAGTCCACCCACAGTTCAAGTCCTAGACCTGGTGGCTTGAAAATTACACCAGGCACATGTGTGTGCATGCCCAAGATCCCAGGAGAAGGATGGAGGAAAAGGGATTATGCTGTGGTCATACTCCCTAGAGGCTGATTTCTCACTTCTTCTTGCTATCTCTCTCTGTCTCTCTTCTCTGAGCATAAGTACTGTATGGCAAAAACCTTAAAGGAAAAAGAACAAAAAAAACCTCTATGTTCCTTCTGTACATTCACATTTGTTTTGTCATTTTTCTTACTTGTTGCAAAATAACTGAAACTCCACTGTTTAAAATCACCTCAGACAATCTGTAATATTGATGGTTTCAGTTGTGTTGAATTTTTGGTTCACTGATCTGGGAAACAGCTAGAAATGAGAGTAATTATGGCAAGTAGGTGTTTTAGTTAGGTAGGTTTTTGTTTGTTTTCTTACCCGCTGTGACTGACGCTATCAGCCAGATGACCCTCACTCTTGAGTTTCAAACCTGTTTCCTACTGCACACATTTGTGATTCCCCAAGGGCATTCCTTGGCCCAGAAAGCAGTACTGGCCTTCATACAGGCAAGCTCTCAACTAATGACAAGATTTGGAACTGGTACATAAATACTCCAATTTTCTTGCTTTGGTTTTGAAAACTCTTAGCCAGTTTCTGTCTCTTGTGGGAATGAGCTATAGCTGCCACAGTGATATTTGAATATTAACACATCTTAGGTTGATTTCTTTCTTTTTTCTGTATTATGCCTTTATTCTTTCAGTGGAAGTTGCTCCCTGAGTTTCCCTTTCAAATAAACTATTGGTATTCAAACTGTTATCTCAGCATCTGCTTATTGAGGAAGCCAGTCTAAGACAACTGCCAAGACTTTCCAGATATAAGTTATCAATGCTCTAAAAGCATGTGCAAGGATGACACCAATACACGCTATCATAGTTGAAGCTGAAAAAAGACGTGTCTACAAGGATCAGACTCATTAGACTCAGTGGGAACAGGTCATAACAAGTGCTGCCCTTCAGTCCCTCCACTGCCTGCTTTTTAATTTTTTTCCATGTTTTGATTATCTTGAGAATGCTATAATTAAAAAAACGTTTTAGAGCTGTCAAATGGAAATGTTCTGTTCTGTCCAACATGGTACCATTAGGCACGTGTGGCCATTGAGTTTTTGAAGTCTTTGATGTAAACTTGAGTATCTACATGGAGCTAGTGGCCACTCTATTAGGTTGCCTATTTCTAGAATTTTGGAAGTATGGAAGTGTTCTTTTTTTAAAAAAGAATTATTTTATTTTATTTATTTATTTGTTTATTTTAATTTGACCGGGGGGGAGGGGAGAGAGAGAAAGGAAGCAAGCCGCCAGGTCCAGGACTCAAACCACGGTCGGCCATGTGGGAATCCAGTGCCTTTAACCACCACGCCACCTGAAAGTGTTCTTTTACACATTTTTTCCCATTATCTTTCAATCTCTCTTTTATTTCTCCTTGCACTATTCTTTTTTTCCTTCTTCTGTGAGGTGGCTTTATCTCGAATGGTGAGGTGTCAGTTTTGCAGTTTGTGAACCTTTTCTGAAGTAGGCACTTCAGAAAACCACCTAGCTGCCATTATTGAGTAGTTTGGTATATCGTCATTTATTAAGAGATTACGTCATACTTCATTTGTGCTGGTGATTATTTACCAGTGTCCCAGCCTACAAAATATGTATGACATGACTTTGCTGATCTGATGGTAGTGTTCTCTTAATCTCTTAGTAAATGATGATATATCAGACAACTCAATAATGGAAACTAGCTAGTTATTCTGCTGGTATAAGCAGTATACTCAGTTTCTTAATTAACTTCTCTTTCTCCTACTTTTCAAGCTTTGAAATATATTATAATACTATTATTTGAAGTCTAGTTTATATTTCAATGATAATATTAATAACCAAGTATATATCAGGGTATATCATTTTCACCAAATAATGATATCAGAGTGATTTTTATTTAGTTTAATTGTAAAACATACCTATTAAAAACAACATTTTGAATTAGAGTGATTTTTACATAAGGAGTGCATCTGGGTCTGTTGGTTCTAGCACTCCTTGGACAGATGGTCTTGAGAGAAGGAAGGCCAGATGTTTCAAATCCGAATCTGCATCAAGGATGTAGTATAGTAGAGCCTTTATTTGAATATGATACTGGTGAGGTATGTTATTTTGGTTGTTGATTTTAGGCTTTTAAGATGGTTGAATCAAATTCAGTGCCCTGAGGTCAGATGGCTGAGAGACTTAGGCTCATCTTGCTTTGTCAGTGTTACATTATATAGACTATATTTCTTCATGAAATATTTTAATACTTGCATTAAAAATCCTTAAAGAAGTGAAACAGAGGAACTGGACATTTATTATGAAACTACAACCTTTGTTTATGTATGATTTTAATCAACGGTCCTCTTTTTTAGGTTTCGAAAACATTGAATTGACTCCTCTTGCTGCAATATGTGCGAAAAGATATTGAAAGAGTTGAAAGTGGATGGCTCCATTCAAGTTTCTCTCCCCCTTCTACATACAAATGATGTGAGCACAGGGGATCGGATACCAGCTTGGACATTTGATATGAACACGGGTACGTGAGTGAGATGAAAGCATTGTGAACATTTTGAATATTTTTCCAAATATTTGAATGTTTTACCTCAGGATTTGATAGAGCTGTAATTTTTTTAGTACTATACAATTGTGTATACTTTGTCAGTGACTAAAATTGGCCTTATTTCAATTAATCTAATGTGACAACAATGGGGGAAATTATGCCAATCACTTACATTACAAAAAAATGAAAAGCAGGGCCGGGTAGTGACATAGTGGTTAAGGTGCTGGACTCCCACATGGCCGAACACAGTTCTAGTCCCAGGATCCAATGGCTTAAAACTCACACTAGGCACTGTCTGTGTATACCCAAAATCTCTAGAGGAGAATGGAGGAGGAAGGACTGCAGCATGATCATCACCCCGGAAGGTGATTTCTCATGTTCTCTCTCTCTGTCTCTCCAGTGAGTGCATGTGCCCTCAAAACAACTAGCAAAACAACTCTCTCTTTCACTGAAAAGAAAAAACAAAGCATTATTCATTCAATTGTCTTTTTTTTTTTTTTCTGGTGCTCCCCTCTCCCAACATTATGAAGCAGAAATAATTAAAAAAAAAAAAAAACAACTACTTATCCTTTTAGGTGTTTCTGTTTTGATTTGCCGTAAGAGTTTTTCTAAAAGCTTGGTTGAGGAAATTGAAAAATCTATGCCAATATTATGAAAATAAATAATACTGTGCTATTGAGATAGAATGATTATTTCCCTCCCTCCATAAAAATGTAAAAAAGAAAGAAAGAAGGATTAAGATCAGTCCACAGCTGGCAAGTCCAGAGAGAGGTAGGACTGCTTTGAAGGCATGCTACAGGGCCTAGAGAGTCATAGGACTAGGTTTCTCTCCTCCTTCCCTGTCATCTGTTTCCTCTCTATTTGCAGCAAGAAGGCTGTAGGTGCTCTAACTTTATACTTAATAAGGTTGAAGGCCAGTCGGGAGGAGGAGACTCTTTTCCTAGTAGCTAAAACACAAGCCCCCAGATTCCCTGCATTTGCAAAATGCAGTTTGCATGCCCTTCTTGGACCCACTCTATGTGACCTGTAAGTAGAGCGACCACTTTTATTTAGGCTTAAGTCACATGTGGGAGCTGAGGATGGAACTCCAAACTAATCACGTGGACTGAGAAAAGGGGAGGTAGATCCTTTAAGGAGATTTGAAGGAGGATTTCACTGTTATTTGAAGGATGGGAAATGAGGCCAAAAAACCCATACAAGTATTCACTCCAAAAGATAAGCATATATATATATATATATAAAAGAAAGAGTAAAAACTATATAAGTGATAATGATATATGCTATTGTAAATCATTAGGGTAAGACCTCTATGTCTATTTATAAGCAGTGCCACTTTGAACAAGTCAGTTAACTTATTTGAACCTTAGATTCCTAATTTGTTGAATAAGAGAGTTGTTTTAGAGGACTTTAAAGAAGAACATGTGCTGTTTGAGGCCTGGTTTTTGATGTTCCTCCTGGAAAAGGCATTTTTCCCTGTCACCTTTCAGTGACAGAAATTTTGAATTATTTATCACATATGCAATGCTTAATTTTAACGAACCATTTAGGGGTATAAATGAAATCATTTCTATCATTTTGAGTTTGTCTATATTATTAAAACAACTATTTCGTATGTTGTAGATAATCCACTATCAAATCACAAATTAAAATGCAAATATATACCAAAATTAGAAATAGCATTGATACATAGCATTGCTATACTATTTATACATCAAACTTTATAAAACATATGAATTTTACTGATTTTTTTTCCTCTGGATAGCAAATTTTATTTGGTCAGATAGTATTTTTTAAAATTTTTTGGAGAGGTTTTTGCTATAGGGCGCATGCACTCGACAGACAGAGACAGAGAGAGAGAAAATGAGAAATCGCCCCCCAGGGGGGATGGCCACGCCACAATCCCTTCTCCTCCATTCTCCTCTTGGGATCTTGGGCATGCATGCACATGCGCCCGGTGTGAGTTTTAAGCCATCAGGTCCAGGACTCAAACCGCGGTCGACTACGTGGGAGTCCAGCAGCATAGCCATTACACTAACTTCTGGTCCCCAGCTAGTATTTTTTGAAAGTTAAAAAAAAATAGTTCTGAAAGAACTATACCAATAATACTAGAAAATAGTATTTAATAAGAAAATCAATAAAGTCATAAAACATAATTATAGAATCAGAATCCCAGAATAGGTAAGTAGCAAATAACCACCCACTGATGAATTGAGATTTCATTACATCCTTAAAAGGTACCTCAATATTTACAATTTAAACATGACTTGGAATCTTGATTTTTCTAAATATGCCTACATCCTTAGTTTATAATGATTTTATTTCCTTTGGTAGTAATAAATACTTCAAATTATTCTATTTCATGTATTGTAATATATTTTGTATGTTATATATTATATGTATTATGTCATTATTCATGATAGTATATTATCACAGGTTTTATAATCGTTGTTAAAGTCTTTTAAAATATTCTATATATGTCTATAAGCAAACTTCTATCAACTCTAAAGACAAAGATATTTAATTATAACTAACTGATATTTTTTACTTATTTTCCTTCTAAGGTGCTTGGGTGAATCATGGCTGGGGAATAGTCAAGGAATATAACAATCATTTAATTTGGACATATGATGCACCACATTTGGGATACTGGATAGCAGCTCCACTTCCAGGAACGACAGGTACTGTAAAAATGAAATAAAGTAATAAAAAAATAATCCAAATAGTTACACTGGAATTACTATTGGCAGACCTCAGTTTTATTCTGGGCATTGCCACTTAATAGCTATATCATATTGGGAAAAGCATTTACTCTCTTGATCTTAGCTTCTTTTTCCATTTGTCTAAGAATAGATTAAGCTCCATGAACTCATCGGTCCCTTATGGTTATAATATCTGATGAGTCTGTGAAGAATAAAATTTGTTCAAATCATTATTCTTTTTTTTTAGTTTACTTTTTGGTGAATAATATGTTAGAAGGATTGGGGAGGACACAGGCTGAAGACCCAGATGCTAAAAGGCAGGGGTCCCTGCAGTGCAGAGGGCCCAGCTAGCAGGCCTGCCTGCCTGACTCTGCCAAGTTGCCGCTGTGTGATGGCTGACTTCAACCTGAAGGGAAGGTTTTTGCCTTCTCTTTAAAGGTCTGATGATGTTTTTGTCTGTGAAATAAAACTGATAACCAGGTTAACAGGAAAAAAAAATTCAATTTATTCATGAACATATATGTTTATGGGAGCTACACAAAATATGAGATTCAAAGGAGGGCCAGGTGAACGAAGGGTTAATACCCTACAGAAAAGAATGGAGATGGGTGCTAAGCTATGGGTGAGGGGAGAAGATACAGAGTATCCTGTTTTTCTGGACCAGGTGTATAATCCTCTTTTCTGTGCCTACCTAGCGGAAAGCATCAGGGCAAGTCTGTTTATATCCACTGCTTACATTACTGATGTAAATACATGTAAATTTGTTTTATAAAAGGTTGGCTTTTTTTTTTTTTTAGAAGTTAATCCTCTGTCTGTAGCCCTTCTGAATAGTCATCTCAAATATGAAAAGTATATTTTGGGGTGACATATTTTGGTCTCCCACAAACCTTACCGATTGTTTCTTTTATGGTTCTTGATCATTCTATGGATGAAAGACCTGGATGGCCTACCTTGGGTTGTGAGCCTCCCTTTAGGTGTGGTGGAAGAGAGAGGAAGAGGAAGGGGCTCTTAAATAATAGTGTCCCCAGGACTGTTTCTACGAGAAGACAGATGATAAACAAAATGAAAATTGGTCTGACAGTTTGAACAGAAGGTGGATTAGTGGCGGGTGGCCAAATCCAAGAATTGTCCAGTATAATCTATTCATATTCTAGGAGAAACGAGTATTTTCTTTTCTTACATTTAACTTGGTACCAAATTCTCTATATCACTGGTGCCTAAGGAAACCCTACATCATCTCAAGTATAAATTTTGTATGTTGTATAAATTTTTCAGTATGTCCAGATATTGCATATTCTATCCAGTAAATCTTCTTGAAAAAAGAAAAATATCTTCCAATCTATTGTAGTCTAGAATGGTTGCCCTGTTGTTCTAGAACCACTTCCAGGGCTCACCGGGTGTTTGTCTCTTGGCTTTCCCTAACACTAGCTTTGCTAAATACCTCCCTATCCCCTAGCATTTTGTTTCTGTTTTCTCATTTTCCTTCATTTCTGTAGGATCATATATTTATAGTTTCAAAATAAAGCAAAATTGACAGTGTCATTATAGTGATGATTTGGGAGTGAAAGTTGAATTCACATAATATTCTAATCCTTATCATGTGTCTGAGGACGATCTTTGGTTTATCAAGTGTTTTGGCTTGCAGCTACTACCAGGCTGATTCATGCTTGGCAAGAAGAGTACCAGTGCCGACTCTGATCTGGGACATGGATGGCATTTGCAGACGTTTCTTTGCAGCATTCTATCAAGCATTAACTTTATTATGACTGTCTAATAATTTGAGAGGGCCTCTTAGTTTTTTTCGGAGAAAGTTCTTACAATCCAGTTTGGTTTATTTTTATTTTTACCAGAGGGCCCGTGCACTCACCGGAGAAAGACAGAGAAAGAGAGAGAGTAAAAGTGAGAGCACACCTCCAGGGGCATGGTCACATCACAATCTTTTCTCCATTTCTTTTCCTTTTCAGGTTTCGGGCACTAATGTGCTCCCACCCGACATGTTTTGCCAGCGTCGTTTAGCTATCATGCTATGGGCCAGCCTTCCAGTTTGATTTGATTTTATGTCGGCAACATGTGAATTTTAAACAATGCAGGATAATTTTTTCAGCAAAGCCAAAATTAAGTATTCTAACAGAAGAAATACAAGCCATTAGCCACATATGATCAAGAGGAATTTTTAAATTTCTACTTGAATTTAGTGCTTATGAAATTATTTATTCAGAAACCAGAGGGTGGTTACTTTTGTTCTCCATGATACAAAATATCATGCAGTCTTGCCAGCTGTCTAGCCTTATCCCATTCTAGATTTCTAACTATAATGAAATATTGATGAACAGAATAATTAATATTTAATCTAATACTTTAAGTCAGTTACATCCAAGTTATTTTAATTAATAGTAAAAATAACCTAAGGAGCATTTGAATCCTATAGAAAAAGATAGTCCACAAAAATACACTTGAAATAACAATTTATGTAAGATGTCTTTGAGCCAAAATAATTTTCTAAAGCAAGTGTAGTACTATTTTAGCTTATCGATTAACAGAACATTGGTATGGATCATTGCATTAAAATGAAAGGATGGGATTCTTAGTTAGTGTGAATTGGACACTTCCTGATGATCCTTTTGAAAAATCTATCATGTAAGCTTCTCATAGTCACAGGACCATTATACTAGAAATATGGGTTACCTGATGGTAATGCTAGCTTTACCCATCACTAACTGGTTGAGCTTGAACATAGTCCTTCCCCATCCGAGTACAGTTTTAGTTTTCTTGTTTCTCAGAAGAGTTGGATATTGTAATTGTTCAGTTTTTCACAGCAAAATACTACAGACTGGGTGACTTAAACAGTAGAAATGCGTTTTCTCATGGTCCGAAGGCTGGAAGTCCAAGATCAAGATACTGTCAGAGTTGGTGAGACTTCTCGTTCTTTCTTGTAGATGATTGTCTCCTTGTGATGACCTCATATCAATGCCTTTTCTCTGTGCACTTGGAGAAAAACAGAGATCTCCAGTGTCTCTTCCTTATCTTAAAGTCACTCGTACAACTAGACTTAGGATCTACCCTTATATTCTCACTCAACCTTTATTTCAAATCTTGTGTGGGACAGTTTAGCACAGAACAGATGTGATCATCCTGTAAAAGAGAAACATCAACTCTGTTTCTTTATCTATAAAACACAGAATCCTTCAAATCTACATGTGTAGTTTTTCCCCCACAGCAACCAATTGTCTGATCCTCGGTGGACACTGACTTTATATCCTACAGTTCAATTTGATTCTGACACTCTCTTTCTGGAGTAGGCATCAGCCCCCACAGGTTAAGGACTCAGTCCCCAAGACTGCCCCCAAGTTCTGAAGCCAATTGCATGTAACGGATCCCCAGATTATCCACACTTCTGTCTGACTTGGCTTCAAATCAAGGATTCTCACAAGGTGCTCTTCCTTTAAGTTCAATAATTTGCTATGACAACTAACAGAAATCAGGGGAAACACACTTATTAGTTTATTGAAAAGGATATGATAGAGGGTACAGATGAATAGACAGATGAAGAGGTATAAGGGTCCCAAGTTGTATTTGCAACCCTGATGCTTTCTGAACCCCGTCCTTTAGGGATTGTGGTGTCTACATCACATAGGTGTGATCAACTGTTAATGTCTAGTCTCTCTCCCCTCTCTGGAGGCTAGGAGTATGGAGCTGGAAGTTCTAAGGCTCTAATCATGGCTTAGTCTTCCTGGTGACCAGCCCTCATCCAGGGCCTACCAAGAGTTGACTCATTAAGATAAAAGATTGTCCTGTTAGCTAGGAAATTACAAGGAATTTAGGAGCTCTTTGTAAGAAACAGAGTGGGGAGATGGAGAACAAGTACTGGAACAAAAGGTGCTCCTAGCATTACCGTTGTTCAGAAAATTCCAAGAGCTCAAGGCTCTCTTCACCAGAGATTAAGGGCAGAAGCCAAATAAACATTTTAATATGTCATAATTCCTAATATTTCTAAAGATTTTAGAATGTAATACTGTAAAATCAAAAATCAGTGCTGTGATGGGTTAGTTAGTATCTGGGGTGTTGGAGCTATATTGGTTATAAATTGGTTACTAAATTTGTTAAATTAAATTTTACATAGAATTCTAGAATTCCTTGGGGAAAAAATGTGAAGTGCAAGAGATTAAAAGTAATTTTTTAGATTGTTGTAGGGAAGTAGTTGGCAAAGTATAGAGTTCAGTAAACAGATGTTTTATATGTGTTCATATGTGTTTCCAAATATATTTGAATGAAAATATATGATAACTTTCCATGTTTCTAGCACCCGGAAGGCAGGTACACACATGCATGCACGCACACTAGCACATGCCTACTTTTTTGCTACTGTCACAAGAATAGAATTTAGGGATAAACCCGAAAATATTAACCTCCTGTTTCCAAAGGTTAGTTCTATTATAAGCGTGTGGGATAAAAATTGTTAGCATTACTCCTTTATGGAAACTCATTTTCATATACACTAAGGAGAAGGAAGTTGCATTTCATCCCGTTATAATCAAACTTCACTCTGTTGTAGTTCCTAATCCAGCATAAGTACCTGCAGACAGAAGTGAGTAACTCATAACACTTTTTTCACTTTTTTGTTTGAAAAATTTCATATCGTGCAATCCTGTACTTGTTTGCCTAATAGGTATGATAAAGGCTTTATTATCAGTCACCAGCTGTGTCATGATGGCCCGTATTGGAATGCCTGTTCTTGAAAACCTCGAAGTTTCATTCAACAACAGCAGTACAGAATAGCTAATGGTTACTGAGTGCTTATTGTGAGCCAAACACTGTCCTAGTGTTTCACAAGTATTAACTCATTGAATCTTCAGCAGCTCACGGAGGTTAGGAAAGCTCTCTTATTACCGTTTTACAGGTGGGAAACTGAGACACAAAGAAATGAAGTTTGCCTAGTACCACATAAAAAGAAATGGCAAGGCCAAGATTTCATTTCAAGCACTGATTCCAAACTCCGTAATGCTACTTCTCCAAATCTTGTAATATTACTATTGGTATTACTTGACATTTGTCTACCAGGTCATTGGGAAAGTTGTGATGTATTTTTCTATGCAAAAAACGCATCATGACTTTACTGACAACCCATTAATTAGGTGATGCAGAGTTTAGAGGATAGACCTGAAGACCTGGGGCTTCTTCAGTCTCCCCCAGTGTCCTCAGTGCAGTTGGAGCCTTCCTCTGCACATTTTCTCATGATAGGGTCGACCTAAAAAGAAGGCTGGGGCAGAATAAGTGAAACAGAAGTGGCTTATTCGAGCCAGGGTTTAGGATAATTCTGCTGGATGACGCGAATTCCAGAAGCCTCTAAGGTGTGCATCGGAAAAGGCTGCCCAGAAAGCTAATTTTATAATCCAAAGAAAAGTGAGAAGAAGGGCATTAACAAGTTTTTTAGCCAGAATTTACATTAGTCCACTTAAAATAACATAGACCGTTGGCCGTGTGTCATTTACTTCAAGAATTTAGGAGTGGTGGAACCAGCAGTTGGTGTAATGGCTGTGTCACTGGATTCCCATGTAGTCGAACGCGGTTTGAGTCCCGGACCCAGTGGCTAAAACTCACGCCGGGTGCGTGTGCGTGTATGCCCAAGATCCCGAGAGAAAAATGGAGGAGAAGGGAATGTGGCGTGGCCATCCCCCCTGGGGGTGATTTCTCACTTTCTGTCTCTCTGTCTCTCTTTGTCTTTCTGGTGAGCACATGCACCCTATAGCAAAAACCTCTCCAAAAAAAAAAAAAAAAAGAAAGAAAGAATTTAGGAGTTGTAATGAACTAAGGGTGGAGGTAACACTGTAGCCATTTGCTGATCAGTTTGTTTACATAGTTGCAGGTGTAAACAAAGACTTTGCTCATGCCTTACTCAAGCTTTTAAAATGTAAAAAGGCCTTGACCATCCATACTGCTCTGAACTGCTTTTCTTTCTCAGTAAAGATGACCAGAAAACCACTTTTCTGACAACTCTTCACCATATCGCCCTTAATATGTATTAGAATCCAGTAGATAGTGAAAGTAGACTTATGTATCTTTTTGAACAAACTGACATCTTAGTGATACTGAATCAGAGTACCTCAAACTTAGTTACCTAGTAGCATTCATTTTTACACAAAATCTTAATCTCTTGGTTTATCTGCTACTCTGGTGGGCTTGGCTTAGTTCAGTTCAATCTACGTTCTCATTCTGGACTCCACATAGATAGAATAGTGACTCTCGGGCCTATGATCCACGTATTAGAGGAAAAAGCCACACCACGCAACCTCATTTAAGGTGCTCACATTTCATTGATCAATCAAAGCAGTCAGTTGATTCATCCCTGGGGTAGGAATATGCTTTACCCACAAGGAATGTCTGCCACTGGAGGGAAGCCAAGAAATAAGAGTGTGTGCACATATTCAGTTTGCCTCTCTCAGGGTGCGATGTTGGGGAAAATTTAATCTAAAACAGTATTTTTCTTTTTGTTTTGCTTGTTTATATTGAACCATGTAGGTTCAGGTATCAGTGAGGATTCGAAGGACTTAACAGCCTACCACACGGTGTTTCTTACAGCCATATTAGGAGGGACGACAGTCATTGTCATTGGTTTTTTTGCGGTACTTCTTTGTTATTGCAGGTAAGAACAGTATTGTTTCATATACAAAAACATGGAAAACTGTCCCTATCAAATTACAGAATCATGTCACTATGTTCTGTTCATTACAAAGTGTGCTTCGTCTTTAAAGTATATAGATTAGAAACGAAAATGGATATATTCTAACAGTAGCATTGCCTATGTGATATGCATATTGTGGCATGCTTTCTGTGAGACGTAACTTCTAGATCATAACCTTTGAATATTTTTCACCTTTCATCTACTGTAGGGATAAGTGTGGTACTCCACAGAAAAGAGACAGAAATATCACTAAACTCGAGGTCCTCAAGAGAGACCAGACAACGTCAACAACACACATAAATCACATCACTTCAGTCAAAGTTGCTTTAAAAGCTGAGGACAAGACACAGTTATTCAACTCCAAAAACTCCTCATATAGCCCTCAAAAAAAGGAACCATCAAAGGCAGAAGCAGAAGAAAGAGTTCCCATGGTGAAAACGCGGGACAATTTTAAAATCTATAATGAAGATGTTTCATTTCTATCAGTCAATCAAAATAATTACTCAAGAAACCCAACACAGTCTGTGGAGTCCGGTGCAGGGTCAATCCAATCTAAACATATTACCAGCAATCTATCTTCATCTTTAGCTGATGCTCAAGAGGAAAAGAGGTATCTGGCAGGTAATGAGGAGGTATATGGGCGCTCCCACATTCCTGAGCAGCTTATGCATATCTATAGCCAGCCCATTGCCATCCTTCAAACATCGGACCTTTTCTCCACCCCAGAGCAGTTACATAGTGCTAAGTCAGCTACTTTGCCAAGAAAAGGACAGTTAGTCTACGGCCAACTGATGGAACCAGTGAACAGAGAAAACTTCACACAGACGTTGCCCAAAATGCCAATGCATTCTCATGCACAGCCCCCGGATGCCAGGGAAGAGGACATTGTGCTGGAAGGCCAACAGAGCTTGCCATCCCAGACTTCAGATTGGAGCCGATACTCCAATAGCTTACTGGAATCTATCTCTGTTCCTGGGACACTAAATGAAGCTGTTGTCATGACTCCATTTTCATCAGAGCTTCAAGGAATTTCTGAACAGACCCTCCTGGAGCTGTCTAAAGGAAAGCCCTCACCCCATCCCAGAGCCTGGTTTGTGTCTCTGGATGGAAAGCCAGTGGCGCAGGTGAGGCACTCTTTTATAGACCTGAAAAAGGGCAAGAGAACCCAGAGCAATGACACGAGTCTGGACTCTGGGGTGGACATGAACGAGCATCATCCGAATAGAAAGCTCGAGAGGGAGAAGACGTTCATCAAAAGCATGCATCAGCCCAAGATTCTTTACTTAGAAGATTTAGACCTAAGCAGCAGTGAGAGTGGAACCACAGTCTGCTCCCCTGAAGACCCAGCCTTAAGGCACATTCTAGATGGAGGCAGCGGAGTTATCATGGAGCACCCTGGGGAAGAGTCCCCGGGAAGAAAAAGCACTGTCGAAGATTTTGAAGCCAATACATCTCCCACTAAAAAAAGGGCCAGACCACCACTAGCCAAGAGAGATAGCAAGACTAATATCTGGAAGAAGCGAGAGGAACGCCCACTGATTCCCATAAACTGATTTTGAGGTGGCGTGTCTCTGCTGTCTCGTGCTGTTTATTCTTGCTTCTGTTGTACATTGCAGTGTGAACTCTTTAGGAAGCTGAGACTGAGCAATCTCATGGTCCCTGGACGTGTCTTAAGCAGAGTAAAGTAATAATTCAGTAATCAGAGAGAAAGATACCAAGAGATGCTTTCTCTAGCCTGTTTCTGTTTTTGTTTTTGTTTTTTTTTTTTTCATTTTCTTTTGGGTGAGGAATTTAAAGTATCCAACTTCTCAAAATGTAAAATAGCATCAAGATGTAAGTTATCTGACAATATCGCTCAGTCAGCCATTTTGGCCCCGACTCTCCTCAGAACTCATTGTGAACATGTGTACTTTTAAAGTTGCTTCCAAAAATGTTGCTTCTGCCTCGGTGACTACCCCGTGGGACATATGGAAATGAAACCGTCTTCTTCAGGCATCATATTCTTGTGAAATGTCACTATTATGTGCTCTTCTGCCTATACTTGAAAATAACTTGATAAATGTTCTGGACTGATGTTATTCTAGAGTTTAAAGATCAAGCAACACTTTCTTTGTTGCGATAAATGGCATATGCATTGTATCATTCCAAAAGTACATCCTACACTCACTTAAGGTGGTAAGGAGCTACTTAGTTGTTAGGGAGAATTCAGCTCTTTGGTTGTTTTGGGATATAACTTCTAAATAATTTCTTCTTTAGAAATTTGAGAAACGAATGTTCTAAAACTGGGCTTTTATTTTAGAATGTGTCTGCCTCAAAAATGAAGTGAGCTTAGCTATCGTGAAAAACTTTTTTTTATGAATATGAAAACATAATCTGTGACTTTAATTTAAAGTTCCCTGATACATACAGTCCAAGAGCAAATTTTTAAAAACATATTTCATATATTTCAAAAAATCAAACTCAATACTTAAGGGCTATCAAAGTTTCTTGTGACACCAAAAATTCACAAAATATGTAGAGCTAAAATAACATTTCAGTTCTTTCCTGAAGTAGAGGTGAACAGAAAAGGAAAGGCCATTTTCCTGAGGCCTAAAAATGCCTTTATAATATTACTTGTATCTCCAGATGTTGATATTCATAAAGGATGTTTGACAAAAACAATTTCAGTTTCAAGGGAAAGGTAAAAGTTTTTCCTTAAATGACTTATAGCTTTTGCAACATTTGCCCCGAAGCCCTGTTTTGGGAGTAGTATATTCATATTCTTCTCATCATAGCAAAGACTCAGTGTGAACACATTCAACAGCTGTTTTGTTACATCTTCAACTCTGAATTACTATTCATATGTCCTACAAGTGAAAGCTCTTTTCAAACATTTTTTAAAAATTATTTTATTTAATTTTATTCATTGTCATTATTTTATTTTTTAACTTTTTAAAAACTTGAACAGAGAGAGAAGGAAAATGAGCAAGGAAACTGCCAGGTTCAGGACTAGAACCATGGTTAGCTATGTGGGAGCCCAGCTGCCTCAACCACCACCCCACCTGCCGGCCTCTGAAAGCTCCTTTTTAATTAAAATCAGCCCATCCAATTTTTCTTAGAATTTCCATGAAGATAAATGTCTGAAGCACCTTCTTCTTTTCCATGGTGTGTATGTGCAGGGGGAGGGCCTGTAAATTGCTTTAGTTCTCATCGCTTTCTGTTGAACATGGGAGCAACACAGAAACCCAAGTCATGTAAACAAGTCAAACAGAGCCAAAATACCCACCTTAGCTTTAGTAAAATTGTGGATAGATGTACAATAAAAGATAGCAGCTTTCCCCCCCAAGATAGTAGACATCAGCCCATTTTTTCCTGTAACCACTTCTGTTTTTTTTAAATTTTTTGGAGAGTTTTTTTTTTTTTTTTTTGATAGGGCGTGTTGCCAGACAGACAGAGAGAGACAGAGAGACAAAAAGCAAGAAATCACCCCCCAGGGGGGATGGCCACACTGCAGTCCCTTCTTCTCCATTCTCCTCTCGGGATCTTGGGCACACACACACACACACACACACACACACACACACACACACGGGCCCGGCATGAGATTTAAGCCACCGGGTCCGGGATGCGAACTGTGGTCGACTACATGGGAGTCCAGCGACATAGCCATTATGTTAATTGCTGGTCCCTCTCCTGTAACCACTTCTGAAACATCTGCCAGATAATTTTTCTGCTTTTCTGTATTAATCCAAAGAACTTAAAGACCTAGGCAAATGTTTTCTATATATGATCCTAGCCCATGGAAGAGATCAAATGTTTTGTGTGATACATAGGTTTACTCTTTTGTTTTTGAATAAGAGAAGGCTTACAAAAGAGGAGACTTATTGGGAGTGTACAGAAAGATACATTAAAAGCAGCATGAATAAAGATGATTTGGAAAGGATTAGGGAGTTAGTGCTCTGCTGAAGTGCCTTTGATACAGACTTGCATTACAAGAAGGATATAACATCTTTTTTAAGTGTACATTTTCTTCCTCTTAGCCAAATTAAACAGATGTGCAGATTTTATTAAAAAATATAGACTAGTGTTTCACGTTGGAACAATGAATTTTGCACGTAAGAAACATTTATCTTTCTTTGGTGTGTTTAATCCTTCTTCGAATCCAGTATACATAGGGGAATTGTTTCTGTGGGAATGAGGTTAGACACTATAAAGAAAAATGTTGCATCGCCTCAATATTTTAAGTGTCTATTTTCCCACCCTTAAAAAAAATGTTTCATCTCTCAGCTTGGTAGTGAAATACACATATTGGTAGAAGAGTATAGGGTTCAGGTATATCACTTATTTTATTTGTTCTCGTATAAGGGAATTAAGATGATGTATTCTAAGGGCTCTTCTAGAACTACTCATCTGATTTCAGAATAAACCCCTTTAGTTGTTTCTTTATTTGACACTGCACATACGGTTCTTAATTGGGAATTACAGACAATGTATCTTTTGTAATGATCAAAGAGTGTGACTTCTCATCTGTGAGTAGTTCACAGATTTCCTGTTAAAAAGCTGAAGCCATCTACTTTTTCTTCATCTAAGGGATAATAAACAATATTCACAATTTTCTTAAAATTTTAAAATGAAAATGAACAGAGTTTTTTCTTTTTTTCCAAATGTAAACCTAGATAATTTTGATCACAGATTGCTAACATTTGTGAATCCTTTGTATACACTTTGGATATATCTTAAAGGCAAAACTGTCCCTCAATTAACGGATGAATGCATTTACTAAAGCACAGCTGTATGTATTTTTGAATACGTGTTATGACCTTGAAACTTTATAAAATCAATTTTTATGACTGTGCAGTCGTGTAGAGATTACATCCTTTTCTAATATGTAGTTCACCATAAGATCACAAAGGTTGAGGAACAAAAGCACTTCTTTGCTTTGGCGATCGTTTTCAGATCACTTCCTGTGTTCGAATCCTCTGATAGCGGTACATACTATAGGATTTTAGAGATCTGTGGGTCAAACAGTGTCCCTGCGAACTTCTCAGAAAGGTGAAGCTCAAAGTTACACACTCATTTTTAAGGTATGAATTATTTATTTCCCCATGTACCATCATTACAATAGAATTTGACTTAATTTGTATTTCAGATCTAGAATTGACAGTTTCCCCTCTTGTTTCCAAGTGTTTCTATCTTTTGTATTCTTTCATCAGCGGAATCTCATATTTCAGTGTATTTATTGCTGTTACTACTGTATTTACTGCTGAAAATTGTAACCGGCTGAAGATTTGTAAAATGTTAAACATAGTTCATTAAAGATCATAAAATCTAAAAACGTACTGGATGCATTGTTTAATTCTGGGTAAACTACAAAACATTCCTACCCTACTTGCCATTTAATCTGTTAACTATTCAATTATTTTCACTATTTATTCATTGGATTTCCTCCCTACAATAAAATAATCCCTTTGTTTATAAAATTAACATGATATCTCTTTATACAGCATGTCTCCAAAGTTCACATTTTTATGATTAAAGCTAAGTATAGACAAATATTTTCTATCCAATGAAGACATATTAAGATAACCTGATAGAATATGAAATAAATGAATGTGCCCCTAAATCATCCAAGTTAGAAAATGAAGGGATTTTCTATCCCCTTCTAAAATATTTTCTGGTTCTTAGACTAAGACTACGTGATAACAAAGGAATGTTAAGCAGAGTTGCGCAGCGGAAGCGTGCTGGGCCCATAACAAAGGAATGTTAGGTCTCCTAGAGCCCTTCTACTTAGTTTATTGAATTAGATATAAATTCAGACAGTTTGTATTTTGGGAGCTTTAGAATACTTTTTAGAATCATCCTAGCTGTAATGTCTTTTATGCCTTTTCTATAACTTTTAAAAAATAATCTGGTATGAGAAATACCACTGGTTCATTCTCATGAGAACATCCACTCTGCATCCATTCAGAAATGCAGTGGAGATTTTGATCCCTAGCACTGGCACTGTGGTGGATAGATACTTCTACTTGGAACCCTGTACGTGTCAGCCAAGCTATGGCTGTCTTTGTTCCAGTGTCCGATCTTTACCTGAGAGAGTCTTGGAGTCTTACCAGAAATGATGTAGCCCTTGCAGTAGTCACTGCAGACCCAAACTCACATAAAACTAGCATGTAACAGTAAACATTTTATAAATCAGAACCAGAAGCAGAGGTGCCAAACAGAGGTTCATGTCACCACAGTCTCATGTCAGAAAGAAACTATAATAATACGAAAGAACTGAGATGTAAGAACTATAGGAAATGTAGTCTGATAGAGTTAAGAGACATTTTAGCCAGTTTATCAAAAATTTTTCAGCAGGGGGGACCAGCAAATGGCATAAGGGCTATGTTGCTGAACTCCCATGTCCACCGTGGTTCAAGTCCCATACCTGGTGGCTTAAACTCATGCCGGGTGTGTGTGCATGCATACCCAAGATCCCAAGAGGAGAATGGAGGAGAAGGGATTGCAGCATGGCCATCCCCCCTGAGGGGTGATTTTTCGCTTTCTGTCTCTCTGTTTCTCTCTGTCTTTCGGGTGAGTGCATGCGTCTTATAGCAAAAACCTCTCCAAAAAAAAAAAAAAAAAAGAAAAGTTTTTCAGCAAGACAGCCCCCTCACATAGTGGCTAAGGGAGCTGGATTTCACATGGCTGACTGTGGTTGGAGCCCTGGCTCCAGCAGCTTGAAAAACAGACATGCATGCATGCCCAAAATCCAGACAAGAAGGAAAAATGGAAAAGGGATTGTGGTGTGACCATATCCCATAGGAGATGCTCTCTCTTTCTTTAAATTTTGTTATAATGCCCCTTTATTTAAAGAAAATATTATAATTTGTGATTTACATATAATAGTTGTATATCTTTATAGGTAGCACAATTTTTCTTTTCTTTTCTTTCTTTCTCTCTCTCTCTCTTTTTTTTTTTTTTAGAGGTTTTTGCTATAGGGTGCATGTGTTCGCCAGAAAGACAGAGAGATAGATAATGAGAAATCACACCCCGGGGGATGGCCACGCTGCAATTCCTTCTCCATTCTCCTCTCAGGATCTTGGGCACACATGCATACGCACCCAGCATGAGTTTAAGTCACTGGGTCTGGGACTTGAATCACAGTCTACTACATGGGAGTCCAGCGACACAGCCATTGCACCAACTGCTGGTCTCAAATTTTTGAAATCATGTATGCCGTGTATAATAAAATAAAAGAAAGAAACATATTTACCATCTGTAATGTTCATTGTTACTTTGTGTTGTAATTTGCAACATTTGAAGTTCTCATTGGTTTTTGGAAACATATAAGCAGATGCAAAAGTTTGCAAACTAGTGGAATAGGTTATAGACTAATATAACACAGTAAAGAATGTAGGTGGCAATTTTACATATATTTCCAAATCCCCTTTCATTAAGAAAAAAAGTATTGCCTATTCCTCTACATCTTAGTCACTATGTTTATTTTGCATTAACAGGTTCAGCTTATTGCATATTTTAGCTCTTTATGAATCTATATTGACATTATTTTTTTCAATTATACAAATATTAATTCAGAAAGGGTGTTCTCTGTCTCTGCTGAATGTATGTGCCCTTTGGCAACTAAAAGAAAGATTCATCTATCCATACTTAATTGTCACAGGGACCAGCAATTCGCACAATGGCTATGTCACTGGACTCCCATGTAGTCGACCCTTGTTCAAGTCCCGGACCTGATAGCTTAAACTCATGCCAGGCACATGTATGTGTGTGCCCAAGATCCCAAGAGGAGAATGGAGGAGAAGGGATTGTGGCGTGGCCATCCCTCGCTTTCTGTTTCTCTGTCTCTCTCTCTCTCTGTCTGGCAAACGCACATGCCCTATGTCAAAAACCTCTCCAAAAAGGAAAAAAATATATTAAAAAATAAAAATTGTGACATATAATCAGG